GACTACTGCAGGTTAATAAATGGAATGAGTTTTCTTAGATTTTTTTCAGATAATTTTCTTACTTCAACCTGAAACTTCTCGGGATAAAGTGTTCCAATGAATCACATTTTACGTATAAAAGTTTTTAAAGCGTTTTAGGCACTACTGGAGGTTTTTTTACCCCTTCGACATTGACAGCCACTGCGCCGTCTTTAGGTTTATTTGGCAGTACGACTTCTAGCGGTAGGCAGTTGAATTTTTTGATATCAGTTTGTAATTTATTGACAATTTATTGACGGTTTTTCACTTTTTTTTTGTTGTTTTCTTCCGACTTTTGGACTTGGTTCCCAATTTTCGCTTGGGAGGTTTGTTTGAAGGCCACATAGGGCTGACCATTGTTACAGAAGATTATGTTCCTTGACTATTCACTTTCCTTTATGGTGGATACTTTGTTGAACTAATGTCATATTTTAGAGGTGACTGGCACGAACCAAGAAAGTGCTTTTGAATATAGTGTTTTTTCGGAACTCTTAGTCTTCAAAATATTTTTTTCAGCTTCAGTCACTTCAGTTTCAACTACTGGAACAGGTCTTTTTTCCCAACCATCTACGGGTATAACTTCGACAAGCACAGTCGGTTCATTAGGTCTTGGTGGAACAGGAAACTTTTCACTCGGCGGCACTTCTGTTGCCGGGTCTGCTACTGGTAATTCTGTTGGAGTGACCGGTCTCGCCGCATCCGGGAATCCTATGGAAGGTGAAGTCCCGAAGCAGGTTATGGACCTAGTAACGCAATTAAAGTTTGTTTTCCGTTGAAACCTTCAAGTTGAAAATACTGTAATACTGCTTTTTCAACTGATATATCTCAGGGAACAAATAAGAACAAACAAAGAAAAAGCAGACGAATTTGCAATGGACAGTAGCGATGCATGTATTCACATAGACGAAAAGCTGGATGTTGTCAAGAGACTTCAAGTACAATACTGTAGCGAGCTAAGACGTGCTGTGAAAAAAGTGAATGGTTTGTTTTGTTTCTCGTAATTGGTATCATAACTAATTTGGTTAGGTCACTTAAGGATCCTGGCTATCTTAACAATACCTAATACTCTTGCGCTCAGCATTTTACTAAAACTTCTCATTCCTGAGTAGTAGTCCTGGTCATCTGTGAATTTACAGTTCTTTTGAAAAAGGGTGAACGCGATGTTTACGCCGGGGAACAGCTCGCACGTAAGCAGAAAGAAGCTGGAAAGAATCCTCATTACGGTCAAAATGTGGCCATGGAATACTTGCAAGGGGCTTGTTGTGACTACGAGACGAATCTGATGGATCTTGATGGAAAGTTACAACAAATTGAAAGCGTAATTTCCCAACGGAAGGGAGAACAGGATGTTGGTTGAACTTCTTCTTTGTAACAATCTCAAATAGTAACTTACTGCTTAAAAAATTTATATGTAACTTTAGAAACCTCAAGTGTCAAAAGAAGACCTGACCAAATTTTTGGAGTGCTTTGATCAGATCTTCAAATCTGTTGCTTCAGAAGTTTATGAAATTAATCAGCAAGTTCAGGTAAAATTATCTTGCTTAGCACTTGTCAGGTGTGCTGTTGAGGTATGGAAAGGGTAAGTGGGAGCTTATTTACAAAAAAGTAATTAACTATCTTTCGCAACTTTCCCATTTCAACTTTTTTTTTTTTCTTTGACAACACAAATCCAGTGGCAAGAATGACGCTAGTTCTGCTGATGATGATTGTTTGGTTGAGAAGAGAATTGAAATTTCTCATACATCAGTGTTTTTCCTTTCTTATGCCACCTTACTTTCAACTTCAGGCCTAAAAAAGTGTAAATTTCTTAGAATCCTGTCAAGAAGTTCAAATTGTATTTCTAACAAGCAGCCATTTATGGCCATTAGTCTTTCGAAGTGAAACCTCGGAAATCACTTGTTTTTTGTAATTTTTTATTCTGCTTCTTTGAGTAATTTTTACGCAATTTAAATATTTTCAGGAAGCCAAGGAAACTTATCTTGAAATACGTAAAGCAACTCAGCCATTTGCACCTAATCCATTTGCGAAAAGGATGGGATTTGAAAAGCTTTCCAACAGTTCTCATTTTTCGAGTAAGAGTGCTTTTAAAAAGGAGTAGGGCAATTTATCGGTATTTTTTCTGATTCATCTCTTAAATCGTCAAGAAGATTAAGAAAATAATTCATTTTGAACTGTTTTCTATTTCAGGAAGCGATTTAGGAGCAGATGCTTTTCCTTCTCAGGTCACTATGATGAAAATAGGTGAATTAGCGAGAGTGGCAACGCCAGCAGCTAATCCCCTTGGTCAGCCTAAATGACATTTTAAACTTCGCTTGTGGTTCTAAATTGTTTGTTCATTCTCTTCACAAGTCATTTGATAATTAATTGACTTTTTTTTCATTATTTGTCATCTTGAACCACTTTGTATTTACGATCTCAAATTAAATTTTATATTTTAGGAGGTGGTTCATCAGCCTTTGGTACTACGGGCTCATTATTTGGTTCTAAACCTTTGGGTCCAACTCCCTTTTCCTTTAATACGCCTACGACTTCTAGTTCGCTGTTTAAGCCGTTTAGTGCAACTGCAACGTCATCTGCGCCTCTTTTTGGTGAAATTTATCTCTATTGAACAAAGAAACGTATTAGCTTAGCAAATATATCAATTTACAATAAGTTCACACTTAATACTTTAGTAAGATTTTCTGACGAAAGGATATAATTAAAGAGCAGTTTAAGCCGATGAGGATTCTTTTCAGCTTAACTACATGTGCACTACTGTAGTTCGTAAACGTTATAATTTTTTAAGGTGCCACAAAGACAACAAGTTCCACAGCAACGTCGTCGGTTCCTCCATTTGCATTCGGTAATACATTAAATTCTACTGCTAGTGGCACATTGTTTGGTGGCAGTGCGAGCAAGCCTTTTGGGAAATGATTTTCAGTGGTTCTTGCGTTGTTTTGGGAGCCCCAGCAAATGATGAGCTCTTTTTTCCAGTCGTCCTTCATCCTCTTTCCCTTATTTTTTGTTTCAGAAATATCAGTAAGAGTTTTACTTTTTTTACGCCATTAGGTTTGCTACTGAGTTTACCGTTTTGTGTGGATGAAGCTTCTTTTCGTATGGTTATGACTAGCTTCAAGTGGTTTCGTGCTAAAATATGTCAATAAATTCCAAAAGGGCAAAGATTCAGAATAAACCTTGTTAAAAGACAATGGGTAAGAAATTCAAGAATTAAAAGTAAGAATAAAGCGACGGACTAGCTGGCTAGGCGAATTTTAAAGGTTTTTTGGTGTTTTTAAGAGGCAAAAAAGATTCGAGAAGGAAGTACAGTAAACTGAATCTTTGATAAAGTTTCGCTGGAGATCTTATTTCGTCTATCTAGTTTATTTTAAATTTTTAAGAAGCTACCTGTTTCAGCTTGTTCACATCTTATCGAAAATGTCTTTGCGGGTATTGACTGCATGCTTGACTTTGTCAAGAGTGGTCTGGTTGACTGTTAGTTTTTCTGTGTTATCTTTATGAAGTTTCTAAAAAATAATGGTGATAAATCTGCAATCTGCAGCAGTGTATGTGAAGTGAAGTTTGGAAGTAATTTCTACTTACGTTTGGAACAAGAATACAAAGAGGATTTACATGTGACCCACCTGTTATTAAACGGTAGCAGCTGTATTTGAAAAGTCAGCATATTAATGCGCATTATGCATTAGCAAGAGGAAGGTTTTTTTCTTTTCAAAGAAAGAAGAAAGACAAATTCCTCTTAGTTTATTGAACGGGGACAACTTCTGGGAGCAAGAGAGCAAATTACGGCAGCAAACTTCTTACGGATTAGATATCTAAACAAAAATAGGTCAAACCCGCTGTCTTTTTTCCTTGGTATCTTCCATCTGTAGCTCTTGCTCCTCCTCAGTTCCGAATCATTAGGCATTTGTTATTCGCAAGGTTACTTTAGATAGGGGAGGGCGGAAAACGTTTGAATGTTCAACTGCGTACGGAGAATTGAAGAACGAATGAGGACTTCGCTGTGAAAGACCGTAGTGCGCTATTTACGTCACTAATTATTGAACAAGTTTGATTTCTGGATAGGCCATGTTCACTGAAGTAAGCAGGGGACTAAAAGGTTTATTAGATGTTCGTTTATGACACTAAAGGGACGGCACTATCAGGAAAGCGCATTTGCAGAAGGGAAACAGTTCTTGGAACTTTTCCGCTGCAACCTCAGGATACTTTCGTCCCATCAAAGGTTTTGTCTTTCCGTTATGGTAAGCTTACTAGTAAATGATTTTTTCTTCTTGCTAAGGGTAATATGCAGCATCAGCTTAAGTCAAGAATATTCATCATTACAGTGGTTACTAACGGGAACCTAGAAGAACTTTGGTTCGTGCGGTGATGGTTCCCTCCTCAGAATAGAATGTTATAAATCTATCAAGAAACGCCTGAACTGTTTCTCGAAAACCATCTCGGCTGCTTGAAAAAGTCAAAGCTTTGAAAGTACCTGTTGAGGAACCATGCTTAAATGGTGAGTCAATTCGCTTTTAGCCTGCTATTGCGACTTCCTGCAGATGGTTATTCCAGCTATTTGCAAACTTTTGTCTTTATCTTTGGGTAAACAGTACATTTCACTGCGTTTATTTATGAACTAAGAAATGTTTTGCGCGTACAGCACATGCAAAATACTTTAAGGTCATTGCCAATTGTCATTTACGCCCGTATAATACGCTTTTTTAAAACTGAACTTTCTAATTATTTCCCGTTTTATATACGTCACAGATTGTCATTTATGTACAATAATGAAGAATGAGCTGTAGAATACGAGTAGAATATTAGCTCAACACCTGTCCATGGCAGTTACTTCCTCTACTAGACTTCAGTCCAAAATTACGGTTCTTCTTGATTGCTGTTTGGAGTGCACCTATCACGTCGAAGTGATTTTCAAAATGAATCAGCCTTATTTGGCGACTGGCGATGTAGAAGACTTCGCAGTAGGTTCTTCCACGTGCACCTCGCTCTCTTACTCTCTTTACTGTCGCTTTAGCCAATTCAATGTTCATAAAACCATCACAACTCTGAAGTTCTCCTGGAAATTAGGGCTCATTTGTAAAAAGTCTGCAAATTTTCATTTGGTTTTTCATTTCTTCCGATTGTGTCAGTTAAAACAATCCACAGAACAAATGCTATGCCCTTTGAAAAATGCTTCCAATTTTTGCTGCCTGAATATTCAAAAGAAACCAAGGACCAATTTTTAGTTCCGGTCACAGCGATCAGTTCCTTAAAAAACATGGTGCAAGGTCAGCTGGTTTCTTCTACAAACTGGCTCACTTAGAATTCGAACTAAATTTTTTTCTCCCATGTGATCAACAAAAACTTCTTAATGTTCTCGCCAAACAAAAGATTCTGACCACACTTCGCGAATGAAGGTTGAACATACCTGTAACAGTAGTTAGATTTCGTAATTCGACCGTAATACTTCTTCCCTCCATATTTTGTAACAAACAAACCAACGTCTTTATACTTCTTCTTCGTTCCAAATTCATTTTTTTTGCGGTATCCAGCCTGTCAGCGTCTGCAGTTACTAAAGTATCTAAATTTGAGGCGGTAACAAAATGTGCGTGCACTTACTTAAACTCGCATTTGCGTGCTAAATCGTAAACAAATACCCTGTCTGATCTCAGGAATAATTTGGTTAGCTTTTGTTGAGGAACTTTTATGCAATTATTTCTTTATTGTTCATACGTAAACGCACTGTAAACACAGTTATGCAATAACTGAACAGAAACTGATTTGTTAATCAGTAAAGAGATTATAATCACACAAAGAAAATTTTGAGAGTAAGGACGATTTGTTAGGCAGCATATGAAAAGTATTAGACTGAAAACTATCTAAAGACGGTAAATTAAACAGTGAACAACAGTGTTCAGATGTAAAATAACGCTAAAATAAGCTGACCAACTGTCCCGCAGTTTCCATTAGTCATCTGCTGCCGATTTATGGAGATGAGAAAATTCCTTTGTTAGAGCAGACAGCAATCTGAACGTCTTGCTGTCACCGGAATCAGCACTGTTTCTATTAGACTGTACAAAGGTTTCATTACTGCAAGATTCAACGCAGAAATTCTTTAGCGAAAAAGAATTTACACGTCAATCTTCTTTATGTCCTAACGTGTTCTGCTTTAACAAAATCTTCTGTTATGACTCTTTATTCAGTCAGCTTTGAGGCTGAAGTTTTCTCAAAACCAGTTTTCAACTTATCGACTCAACTGTGAACTGTAAAATTTTCTGTTGACCGCTTGTGTTATGGTTAATGGAAACTTTTCTAAAGTGGAGAACTACTACGGTAGTAATCTTCCTACCTTTCTTATGGAACAGTATCTCCACTGTGGGTCGTAATTTAACCATTACTTGTCCAATTTAACCAGTTTCCTCACCCCAAACTAGAGCAGCAAGAATATTCGTAGGAAGAAATATAGCCAGGTAAAAAGAGAGTTCAAAAGTAGTTGTTTTTCAGAGACCTTTTAAAATCGGTAATCTAACTTCCCTTAAAAGTTTTCAAAACTTTAACTAAAAAGTACGAAGAGAGGCGCTGCCAATACAGAAATGTGAACAAATATAAAACAAAATGAGGCAAAAATCTGCCATTCTCTTTCAGCAATTACGGGCCTTGCCTTGAAGTAGTGCACAGTCCCCGTAAACACCAGTAACATGCCGATATGTTTTATGTGTGGAGTGCTGCCAAAAATAGTTTTTGAGGAATAAACAGTTTAAATTAACATAATAAATCAAAGTCATATCTTTTCCACGGGTTCATATATTGGACTGAAAAATATGAAGTAAAGGCTCAAGTAGAAAAGGCTTTTGTGCACTGCAACACCCTCAGTTGAGCAGCAAAAGTTTTGAAGCTTAAACAATTAATTTCGTTCTTAAATGTTAGTATTCAGAAAATTCTGCGATTCAGATGTCTTGAAAATTCGCTTTTGGCTTTCAGAGCAAAAGACTGGTCGTGTTTTCACAGTGAGAAGAATAAAAACGACTAAAAATGCGGTAAATTTGCCTAATTCTTTTATCATTTGAACCGTGCAAAAACCAAGTTTCTTTTATAACCAGTTGATACTGCGGGTTAAAAACGAATATGTTCCTCAGTCTTCTGAGTAGAAGCTAAAGACTGCGACTTCCGAAAATTTCTTGTTTCCACCTAATTCAGCAAAAGGAAACTCGAAAAATTTCATACTTTGCTTGATTATCACTTTGCTTAGCTTTGTAAAACAAAGGGAATTCAAGAGATAGTCGGTAGCTGCATAAAGGATTCAATCAGTGCCAGTTCCTGTTTATGTCAATTTTTTGCTACGTTTTCACTGCCTTCCAATAAATCTTGGAACGAGACCTGTAATAAATAAACTCAATTAAAAACTTTCACCCTCTCTTTTCAAAATAATTTTAGCTACTAGATGTCTCCATATACAGTAACTTTCTAGGACAGTAACCTCTTTGTCACTCAAGTCACTAACAATTTTGGTGTTTTTAAATCCATAATACAAATTTCGACACAATGAACTTTCGCAACTTGCTTATAAAACCAATGTCATACCGTCTTATTTTAAATTCTTTATTAATACGATTTTTTTCCGAAAACGCTTTTGTCTTTCTTATAAATGGTAAAGAGATGATCTAAAGTGCGAGTAATTCTCTTCCACTTTCTAGTCTTCCTAGCTCCATGCTTTATGTCTAAAATGACGCTTTTCAGAGTCAATCGGGAAACGTCACCTAAAAGTGATTGTTAGATGAAACTTTTTTTTAAAAATTTTTTTGGTAGATGAAATTTTTTAAGGAGTTGGAGTCGCTATAATTTTTTTAAACCAAAATATACGCTTATCCTTGAGCGATTAGAGTAACTACCTTCCCGAAGAGCAGTGAAAAATGTGCGATTAGGGCCAACAGTGGGATTGTTCTGTTCGGCTACTTTCACTCCTCTTTACTAGCTTTTTTCAATACCACTTTTTACAGCTCGTCATAGGATTAAGTTAGTTTGAAGGGAAGCGCACAAGATGGGAATCCTTCCATTACGAAAGTTAAAAAAAGATATTACAACCCTCCCAGGCAGTTCTGAAGCAACGCAAAAGCTCCGTTATTTCCATCTTCTTTTTTCTTCAGATTGTTTAGCACGCTAAAATTTTTTTGCGTTGCGTATATCCAATTTTTTTTAATCTGGATCTGACTCACTGTCTTCCAAAGCATTCGGTTATTTAATCCTGGCATCTAAGTAACTATCGGCTTTAGCTGTGACTAGCAGTTACATTTTATCCAGGTTTGAGATTTCTACACTCCACAGATCACCGAAAAAACATTATTTTTTTTGAGCGTCCTCTAAGGTCAACTGCTCCAACCTTCCTTCTATCACTTCTTGGAAGATACTTGGCCATTGCAATTCTCCATTACCAGGCCGCAAAAGTAAAAGAAAATTAAGATGGCTACTAACAAAGGTACTGTAATATATGAACAAAGAAAGGTAATTACTTTTTAACATGCCCGTTTTATATATACTTTTGGTACAGAACTCACCGCAGTTGCTGTAGAGAAGTTACCGCAGTTGAGAGTTTCCAGCAACTCATCCTTCAGGTGTCTTTAGCTAAAAAAAGGAAACAGACAGGTTGGAGCTTCGCCAAGTGCTCTGTTCAAATGCATAAATATCTCTTGGCGCCAAATTTGCAAGTTGAATCGTCGTGGAGCGAGTCGGAAGAGGATATTTTTGCACTTGTAAATGCGCAGGCGCGTGATCTATGTTGATAAAATATTTTGGTGTTCTTAAGTGTGGCCTGTTATTGTTTTTCGTTTTTGGTTCTTTTATTTTGTCGGTTTTATATTTGTCTTGTTATTGTAACGAGGTGCAGAACTTCAGTCAGGAGTAATTGGAGACTTGAAAGCATTGGCTGTCTGCCTTAAACTTCAAATTTTTGAAACTTCCCGGACTGCTCCGTGAAACCCGGTCAGATTTTTTTTAGCTAAGTGCGAGCTCTGTTTTCTGGCTTCCCTCATAATGGGGCATTCAAAAGGAGTGTACGACACTTGGAGGCAGTGGATTTGTGCTTGCTACTTATTTTTGTACTAATTTGGTTATTATTTTCTGCGTCATGAGCATCTTGGTCTGGTGGACGCTTCTGGTTGGTATTCAATGTTCGTAGAGGGTGGTTTTAGAGGCGGCAGAATTTTAACGTTGAAATCGCTTTCTTATTGAATGTTTTTAATGTTAACAGTTGGTTTTGAAAAAATAATTTACCTTTTCCTAAAATTAATTAGATAGGATGGTTGGAGTGGCACATCGGATGTTTTAAAATATTTGAAAGTCAAGAAATTATAAGTCTTAACGAAGCATTCTGGAGGTTTTTGGCTATTTTCAGTTATGGATTGAGTTTGGGACTGCTGAACTGGAAAGTTCTTACGTTTTGAGCGGGACTTGGCCAAGCATCTCGGAAACCTATTTTCCTTCTTTGGCCATGCGACACGTTAACGGAAAGCCACTCAGTGGAAAACATGAAATTAAAGAAATAACGTCGGAGTTGTTTTATAGAAATGGTTGACTCTGTTAGGTAAAGCTACCAAGTACTTTGCGAACCATGGCTCGTTATGCAGGCCCTCTCACAAATTTGTTAAAATATTGATGAATGTTTTCTTTTCTTTTCCTTCGCTTACTAGATACAGCTTCCTGTGTCAGAGTGTGCTCTTAATCGACGGAGACATTGTAAGCGTCGTTATTGGAGGGTACTCTACAATTATTGAGTACATTAAATCACCTATGTAATTTAAACGTGATTGACATTACGATATATGCTTTGATTCTGAACTTTGTTTCGTATGGTTCTTTTGTTGCGCGTAATGGAACTGGAGGTGGTTTTTCTAATGGTTTAGAACTTCAAACAAGTACGTAATGCCTATCCTGTTTGCCTGGTACTCGCGTAACACTTGCAGCTGCAATATTTAATGATCACCATGTCTGGTGTTCGAGTTCTTCGTCAAATTCAAAATCTTAGTAAGAGTATTTTGGAAAAGAAATCGGAAAAGAGTGGTAGGCTAGAAAAAGAAACTCTACATGAAACCAAGGTTAGTACTATTTTTCTATCTTCTAAGGAGGTTTTCTTTTAGAAGAATTTTTTTTGTGCAAGTTTTATACGATTAAGTTTAGGTAACAAATATGGAAGGTGTTGAGTGCCTGGAAACGTCGGGTCGATATAAGATGATTGTCTCAATTTTTCTTTTTTGTTACAGGAGGGTTTGGGTGTCAAGTCTAAAAAAATTGAGGATGAGAAGCCGAGTAAGGCAGATATTGGTGTTGGGACAGAACTGACTGAGGAAATATTTGATGCTATTCTCAGTGAATATTGGGTGGAAGAAGCACAGATCCTACATTCAGAGGTACTAAGGACTTGATATTATTTTTCCTAAAATATGTGGTGTTTTTATTTGAGAACTATCGGGTGCGGTTTGTTACAGTATGAGCATTTCAGCTGCAACGAAAGTTAGATCTCCTTCTGGAAGAAATTGAAGATGAAGAGAAAGATATTAACGATCTTATAGAGTATGCCCACAGAAGGTGGAAAAAAGATAAAACTCAGGTGGGGATATGTTTCTTCATCCTCACTGGATATCTTTTTGAAGATAGTTTTTCTTGTCCTTGTGAATTTTAAGTTCTGAAAGGGGATCAGGTAGTTTAAGTCATCTTTTATTAAATACTATATTTGTTCACTAATATTGAAGATTTTCTGATTGTCGGTGCCGATTATACAAGCTACTGTAACAAATGTTTTAATTTTTTCGTTTGTAGAACGTAGTTAAAATAGCAGTTGTTTGTGGCTAACTCCAATGTGACACTAACTTTGTGCAGTGTGGTTTAAGGCCGGTAAGGGTGTGCTTGGCATAGCAACGGAGCGTTTGCGCAAAAGTGGTTTTTGAAGAAGTGACTTCTTATGTTTCGTCGCTAGATGCAGCCATTTGCACCATATAGTAATAGATGTAGCAGAGATACCATTGATTATTTCTGGAAGAAATAAGCTCTTGGGGTTTTCTATTGTCATCTTTCATTTCTAAATTAGTACTCTTCAGAAACAGGCGAATAAGGGATCGCAGACAGTAATTACGTACGGCATTGAAGTAGAAGACGCACCAGAGTCCTTCCGACAAGCTCTAGTCAGTGAGCATGATCTCTGGATGGAGAAAAGTTTTCGAGAAGAGGTTAAAGTTGCTATGGTTTTTAATCAAGATATGCGCTCTTCCTGGGGCAATTGGATTAAACTTTGAGGTGTTCTGATAACATTGGAAATTGTGCAGTTAGGTTCTGCTGCAAACTTTTTGACCGTTCAGCTACAGTTTCTTTAAGTAACGTAGTCTTATTTTAGCTCGTTACGGAATTAAGTTATTTAGAAGAGGAAATTAAGCAGTATGAAAAGGAGATCCTTTCGTTGAGAAAGTGCAAACAAGGTGCTATGACTTCTCCAAGCGATTCTGAGGCAGTGCGAGAGTCTTCTTAACATATTCTTGTGAAGCTTTACTTTTTAATTTTTGAAAATGCGTAATATGCTAAAACTTTTTTAGCTGCGCGCAATCCGTCTAACTTTTCATTTTCTTTGATATTGGTCTAATTTACCGTTTCTTTCTAGAATGTATTTTCATATGCGATCCATATTTTTTGTTTTTTCTGTCGCCAGTACATCTTGTCTTTATCCATAATATTTTCTTTTTAATTGCGCTCGTTTGAGTTGCAACGACAAGCTGTTTTTGTACATTGGATTACACTGAAGTAAAACATTGAACTAACTTATTTTATCGTTATAAGATATTTAAAGTCAAGTCTTGCCTTGACTGAAACGAGCACTTGCGTTGTAATTTTCTCTTGAGCAATAACTTTCCGTCGAACTACTCTTTATTGGCGACTCTAGCATAGATTGTGCCTTAAAATGGTGTGGGTTTAGTTTAGGCAGATGTAAGGTGAGACATCGCATCGGGGACCTTATCACATCCAAGTTAGGAAACGGTTGTAAGTTGTGGGAGCGTGGTCGATTGCGCTGGGTGCGGTACACTCCGATGTATAGCTTGAGGGGGGGGGGG